CCATGGTAACCAGAATTGTTATTATTAAAGTAGTAATAAGTACAGATACGTTTCACCATGGTAACCAGAATTGTTATTATTAAAGTGGTAATAAGTACAGATACGTTTCAGTCCTTTTATACCACATAGTTGGATATGCTATAAAAACCGATAACATGGCTTCAACAACGATTAAAACTTCAGACTTCCTTTTGATACGTTCACATTACTCATTTTGTCACTAACTTGTTTCAATATTTCCACTCTGGCCTCCCAGTGGCATGTCTGCGGACTTACAACTCTACAATCCGGGTTTCGATACCCGTGGTTGACAGAGCACAGATTGTATAGCTTTGTGCTTAATAACAAAGAAACTCCCCCTCTGGTGGCTGAACGGTATAAATTGGGTTAATGTAACGAGTACGAGAAAAAATCCTCATTTTCATGTCCTTGTTTTAATAAATTGTTAATTTAATTCTTTGTCAATGATGTATTTTTCTTACGCTACTTACAAATGTCGTTATACTTACTTCAATACATAGATACATTTTCTCAAGTTCAGGTTGTCTTAGCGTTACTTTAGTTGTAAAATTTACGTATATTTTTAGATTATAGGTTGTAAAAGTCTCGTGCCATGTACAAGTATTTGCTGAGGAAACTCTGTAAGTAAAATCTGAACAGGATTACTCTAATATGAGAAAGAAAATTGTAAAATAATATAATAATAATAATACTTTAAAATCTGTTAGAAATATACTTTTTACACGACAGCAGTTTCTTTGCTTCTGGAACCTATGTTACTTTTAACATTTAACTGTAACCATCCATGATTTATGTTACCGAATTTTCTATCAATTTTCTTAAACCTTTTGTTGTAAGTCTGTAATATTACGTGTATTATGTCGACAACGTCACACGTATTTCTCAGTTCTATTCCGTTCTCATGATCTATGGTGCTTTGATTTCAAACCCAACGAAATTCATTAGGCCTCAAAATCATATATCATTGTTTCTAGTAAAACGTGAACCAAGCTTCATTAGACGTTCTTAAAGATGATTATATATATCTTTGTACAAACATTCTAATCTATCATAGCTATACGTATGATTACGTGCTTTCCATAAATAAACCTTATATCTTATTGCAATTTGTAGGATCATTAACATTAGTAATATTACGTCTCCGTTCGTTAGTTAATTTTCCGTAAATTTGTTCCGACGAAACTTTAGCGACACAAGTCCTTTCTTAAATAAAACTGGTTTATTCTTTCTGAATACAACTTTCCGATACACTTAATTTCAACAATCGCGCTATAACAAACGCTACAATTCACCAAGAACGTCTCACGCGCTCGACTTCAACAATACTCAGTTCAATTACACATACGTTGTTCCGTCACGTTGTGACCGTCTTATATATATATATATATATTATTATATATACCAGTCTACCCCCAATCTAGTAGTCTCCCGACAATTCACGAAGGTTCGAGATAGACGTGGCGTGATACTAGTCACGTGACCTCGCTGACGCAACAGTAAGATTTGTTAGGCTGGAGTAAGGTCAAAATAACGATGCCTTTAACTTGCTTAAGACCCGCCTTTTGTATTTACTTTGGTGTAAAAATGTTCATCATTTTTACTTTGAGTCGGAATAACTTTTTAGACAATCTACATCAAATCGGACTAGGTGTGAAATAATCCCAGCTTGTAATAAACCAACAACAGTCTTGTCACATTTTCAGTTGAAGTCAAGTCGGAATGGTACTCTCGTTCACAGATTCTTACAAGAAGCTTAATTTGTTATGTTATTAAATAAACAAACAACGAGGACAATGTTACACTGAAATTGAATGCTCCAAGTTCAACTGAATATCAACACTATTTTTTAGTTTTTTTATTTCTATTTTATATCTGACCATATTGTGATTAAAAAATACACATACGTTTAAAAGTAATTTTGAAAATGTAAAAGGTTTACAATTACATTAACGTTCATGAAATACTGCATTGCACAATAAATGTAGGCCTAGGCCAAAGATTCTAAGTTACATGGTTTTTAACTGTACTGTATATATACTTTAACATTATAAATGATGTTAGTAACTGTACATTCGTTTCATTAGTGTTGAGACTTTGCATACCTGTAGATGGCTAGTAGAAATTTCCGTTGATGAGCCCGGACTTTGGCAGAATTTACACGCTTCACTAACTTCGTATTCTTGTATATCAGCCATGTTTCTCGTAGTACATTTGCTGCTGCGTTCTTCATCTATGGAGAATGGGTAATCTTTATTAAGGAAAACAAATTCATTGCAGAATACAGTTAACACTGTTTTGTAATAAAAGAACCTGATTTGTAGAGCTTTTTTTATTATTTTGCGGGAGTGAAAATAAAATCGTAAGCATTTTTTCTGTTAATAAAATCTTAAGGTTTTGAATTATTGAGGTTATTATTTTGTATGTGGGTATAATAAATTGGAGAAATACTTTTTTTTCTTCTTGGAATTGGAACTGAACTCTATCACACTATTCTTTCCTTTAACAAATTCCGTTTTCCTCCCCTTTTTCTGGAATAAACATCAAATTTAACAGATATATAATTTCATTGGGCACAAAAATAGCTTGAAAGTAAGTTTCGAGTCTTGGCAAGTATTTTCACATGATGGTAAAAATATGAATAGAGAGAGAATTTTATTTCGCTTCTTCTCGTTTTACGAGGGCCATTCTGGAAACTACTTCAAAGAGCTTCTACATATACTTTCGACAAAACCATTTCTATTGTCACCCTTTCCAAACTGTTCTCTCTCTAGATTCAGTCATAAATTTAGGGAAACTCTGGTTTGAGTTTAGGAGAGCACAGTCTACGTTTGGCATTATCTTTCCTGACGTTTTACGACCTCACTTATCACACATCTTCACCCACACACTGGTGTCTTAACCGAATTATAATGCTGAGTAGATATGTTCATGCTGAGCAGACACGTTCATGGGAACTGACATTCTACAAAGTCAGCTTTATTAGGTTGAATATAGTGCAACTTGGATACTCCCCTTCAGGATTCTGGGCCATTTCGAGTTGGCTCTAAACTTGATTCTCTTCAATGACATTTTTCCTTTAGCCGTTAACAGAAGTGGACATACCACTGGAATGGACAACGAATGACAGAAACTCTAGTACCAAGAAAAATTGAACTCTTAAATCAATCTGTCACATGCGAATAGTGAAGTTAAAGTTACTTACAGTAAAAAAAGTTAGTACCATTTTCAGCCACAAGATTGTACTTTATAACACTTAACTCTCCTTCAAGTAAAAGACTGCTTTTTTTTAAAAACTCATGTTATAATAACAACATCAAGAAACGAAAGACATATAGTACCAAGAAGAAATATTTTTGTTTGTTACAAAGTTTTAGTGTTAAACAACATGGAAATCAGATAAGCTTTCTTTGGCGCAATCACTTGTACAGGGTGGGGCAAAAACGGACCATATAATTGTTTTACTAAGAACAGTTTAAGTTGTAAATATTACTTTGAAACAAACAATAATTGAATTGCTCTAAATTTTGTTCGTAATATATTTTTTAGCGCCAACTTTATAATACATTTTACCCCACCGTGTATATAGTAGGTCTAATATAAGTTAAGTTTACAGCTGAATACTGTAAGGATTAGTTCGGAATCTAGTCCTAACATTTTATGTGTGACACCTACCTTTCCATCTCCGAGAGTTTGTCAAACCCTAAAGAATTAACTTGGTAGATCGTTGATTCCAAAAAAACAAAATTTATTTAAAACTGTCCAAGTGTTGAAGTTAGACATGTCTTATTTACGATTACATGTTTTTATATATTGAAAAATATGAACATGTGATGTTTAAACCTCACATACAAACATATTGAACCTTATACACACTTATCATATTTTAGAGTTATTTATAATAACTCTGAAATAAACATTTTATGAGAAGGTTTTATATATGGTAATATTACAATTTAACGTTACTAAGTTACGAAAATCTTACTTTGTAGCTTCGAATCGTATAGGATTGTTGAAAATTCCAGTTGATTGTAATTACAAATGTCCTATACATACCCTCTTCGTTAACTGCGTGTCCATCATAAAATTGTGAACATGTTTTTCAGCTCTAGTTAACTCCAGTTTCCTGGCTATCACAGCTACAACAAGAGCAGTACACCCTGCCCCCTATCGAGTAAAATAAACAAATAACTAATGTTCAAAAATGTTGACAGATGATTTTTTTTAAGTATTTAAAACAGCGAAACAATAAAAGAAAACACTATTACAGTACTTGGAAATATTTCAAAATATATTTTTTTGTTTTTTTACGGATTATAAATATGGTAAAAGAAATATTCACAAAATAATCCAGAACAAATGTTTTAAAATAGCTATATATAATTTTCATTAGGCGAATCTTACTTAATTGGAAAACTGAAAAACAAAATCCCTATAACTTAAAAACTAAAAAAAATACCTTGTTTTTAGGCTTAAGTGAATATAGCTAGTGTTTATTTTTATAGCCATCAACAAATATCCACGTATTCGATGACAAGGAACCCACTTTAAGGCTAATAATGGTTGGAGACGGCTTGAATGGGTCCTGATGACGACAAAACCTTGTCGAAACGTTGTATATTTGCTGTTATGTTAAACTTATATTAAAGTTTTTCTTCATTACCCATTCAAGCCGTCTCCAACCATTATTAATGTCCACGTATTTATCTCCTTTTCCATGTGTTTACCTTTGGAGTTTTATTTGATTGAACAATGAAGTCGTACATTGTTGTCATCGGATCGTAAACATGAACTTGAAGTGAACTTTAAATTAAACGTCGTAGAAACAATTAATCCGTAAAGGTGTAATACGCTTTTTAAATTGACATAATCATGTATAGATCTGATGAAGCACGTGTCATGTGTTTTTTTAAAAAGACAAACAGATATGAATCAAGAAATAACTCAAAGTTGTTTAGTAACAGTTGATGGCTTTCCAAAGAAATACAGAGGCTAGTTCAGGCACCGATATGTTAGTGTGTTAGTTCTAGACTGTCCTGCTTTTTATACCGTCCGTTTCCAGTCAGCTCAGAACTAGCCGTTTCTACAATAGCCTCATATTATGACATGAAAACACCTCTCAGCATTCTATAATTACCGAGTTTATATAACACGAAAGGAGTAGAAACAAAAATAATAAAAATACAAAAAAACATTTTATCTAGGTAATACTGTACTTAGACACTAGATGGCAGCCCAACACCAACTTGAGTATACAGACATGAGCTTGACAAGACTTATATTGTTTTATTTACTACGTGTACTTGAAAACACTTTTGCCAGAAAAGAAAACAGAATTATAAGATAGGATACTATTTATCTTACCGTAATTTTCATACGGGGGAGGAGGATTCTTTGTTTGTTTTGAATTTCGCACAAAGCTACACGAGGGCTATCTGCGCTAGCCGTCCTTAATTTAGCAGTGTAAGACTAGGAGGAAGGCAGCTAGTCATCACTACCCACCGCCTACTCTTTTCACCAACGAATAGTGAGATCGACCGCACATTATAACACCCCCACTGCTGAAAAGGCGAGCATGTTTGGTGTGACGAGGATTCGAACCCGCGACCCACAGATTGCGAGTTGAGCGCCCTAACCACCTGACTATGCCGGGCCGAGGGAGGAGGAGGAAGAGGGGGGAGAGTTCTGTGTTTAGGAATATCGAACGTTGCTACACTATCATGATAAACGTTTCGCATATTAAATAACAGTAATGCCTTGTTTTTTAGGACCGGGTGTGATCTATTGGTTACCATGTTCGAGATGTGAATTCAAAGAATAATATTTCGAAACGTTTTACCGCAAGAACGCACTCCTAACTTTGAGGCCGTGTGTGTCTATAAGAGTAACAGTCATATCCCACTATTTGGTCAGACAAGAGTAGTCAAAAAGTTGGCAGTGGGTGCTGTTAACTAGTTGTCTTTCCTCTAGTGACATGCAAGCTTTGTTTTTAGATTTTCCGTTAATCGTTGTGGTGTATTTTTAATTATATTTCAAGTTCTAACAACCTGTTAGCTGTGGATGAAATTGCAGGAGATTTATTCAAACGAATAAATATAATTATTATTAATTTTTTCCCTCTATCATTTATAGAATTCGTTCGCTCTAGGTATTTCTTCACTTAATATAATAATGTAATTCATGTATAAAATACAGTTGTATCGCCCATTTAGCTGGGAGAATGTCACGTATAAAATACAGTTGTATCGCTCATTTAGCTGGGAGAATGTCACGTATAAAATACAGTTGTATCGCCCATTTAGCTGGGAGAATGTCACGTATAAAATACAGTTGTATCGCCCATTTAGGCTGGGAGAATGTCACGTATAAAATACAGTTGTATCGCCCATTTAGCTGGGAGAATGTCAAAACAAAACTTAAAACGAATAACAAAAAAATCCAGCAATAAACGACATATAAACAGTTCATCACTTATATACAGCTGATCGACCACTCATCAGAATAGCACGTGATTTCGTAAATAGCTGACCACTCATCAGAATAACGACTGTTTGTGTAAATCACTGACACCTGTTTTAAAAATGCTATCTTGCCGCTAGTTTGGTTTGTTACTATATATGTATACACACACACACACATACACGGATATTGATTATATGAGAAAGCAGAAATAAACATGTTTGTTATTAACATCGTGAAGTAGCCTAAGATGACCACATGTGGTTGTGGGTCACATATCTATTTGTAGCAAGGCGAAACACACTAATTCATCTAATTGGTAGAATTGATAAATAATTTATAAAAATATTTCATTTGTCGTGACTTCCCCTTTGTTTGTATGTATGTATGTTTCTGACTATTATGGTTTAGAAGTACAAATATTTCCCTCTTCATTACAAAAGAACAATAAAACGATTAACATAAATCAGCTCTCACATACTTTCAAGTATCGACTACCCTATCATTTATCAACACAATTACAGACGTAACAAACACGTGCTCTTGAATTATTTACTGTTTTCGAACTTCTCTAAAGTTTCAAAGTTTTCTTTTTTACTTCTAGGACGTTTGAAACATTGCTCCAGTCTGAAAATGTTTTGTTCTTGGGATTATTTCACTGACTGCTCATTCGCTAATTTAATCACATCGAAGACAGTAACCTTTTTATTCCAATGAAAGCACAAATACAGTAGTCGTGTTCGAATAAAAAAAACATACTAGAAAAAATTCACATTGACGAAACCCGTTCCGTAACACACGTAGTTTTTGTAAGGCTTCAGGTCCACGAGTATAACTGTAGTGTTTGTAAGGCTTCAGGTCCCCGAGTATAACTGTAGTTTTTGTAAGGCTTCAGGTCCCCGAGTATAACTGTAGTTTTTGTAAGGCTTCAGGTCCCCGAGTATAACTGTAGTTTTTGT